TCGCAATGCACTTATTGTTCGTGTCACATTATCCCATTCAAGCAAAGGTTAACAGAATGAAAAGTCAAGAAGGACAGTGTTAGACCTTACTGTAGTGGTTACGTACAAAGCTAATAGCTAATAAAACATTCGAAACGAAACTAATAAAATAAGAACGGAAGTTAGGTTTTCAGAATTAGTTAGTTGAATTGAAGATCTGTTTAAATGTTTTATGGGTATCACTGTCATCACCTCATCCTAATCTTATCCTTCATAAGTTAACTTGAATTCCATTCCTTTTGGGATTGGTTTGGGTTTAAACAAAAATATTATTTTCGGCAATTACTCCTCAAAGCTGTCGAAAGAGGCCTAAATTTTGAAAAAGCCTAAAATTTAATACACTTTCTCAAACCTTTCCACATAGAGAGATGTGGGCGTATAAAAATTGTCATGCTACAATTCGGCTTCCTTCACTTAAAACAATGTTATAATTGTATTCTCATCACGTATGACGATGCAACAATTCTAGTCCCATCAACTATAACAATGCTACAATTGTAGTCCCATCACCTATAACAATGCTACAATTGTGATCCCATCACCTATGACGATGCTACAATTCTAGTCCCATCAACTATAACAATGCTACAATTGTATTCCCATCACCTATGACAATGCAACAATTCTAGTCCCATCAACTATAACAATGCTACAATTCTAGTCCCATCACCTATGACGATGCTACAATTCTAGTCCAATCACCTATAACAATGCAACAATTCTAGTCCCATCAACTATAATAATGCTACAATTCTAGTCCCATCAACTATAACAATGCTACAATTCTAGTCCCATCACCGATTCTACAATTCTATGGAGATGTTACAATATCTATTCTACTTACGTTCAGGCCTTAATGATGCAAAGCAAAGAAAAAAAAAAGCAGAGAAAATTAGTCATGTGGCTAGCAAGAAAACAGAGGAGTGTTGATTTAAGATCTTCATTGCCAGGCATTTCAGAAAGCATTATAAGGAACAATAGCACAAAAAGTAAGCAGAGCCAAACATGTTACAAACCATAATTCATAGGAATGATCAGTTTACTGCTGCTTAAAGGTTAATATAGGCATCACATTTTATCTCTTCATTCAATAAGCCAATCTAGATTGTGTAAAGAGTTACAGTAGAGATAGCAGTTTGCTAAGTTAGTTGTGAGCCAATCTAAAGGCATCATCACAATTGTCAAGGTATTGCAAACTAGACTACAATAGCTTCCTTTCTTGTAACGCTGAGCAATTTGATTCTATTGTACCTTAACAAATTCAGCCAATCAGATTCCTTGACATAAAATCTGTAAACAATAAGCCATAATGTGTACAGTCTTTCTAACGAGGAATCTGATTGGCTGTATTCGCTAGAGTACAATCATTTCGAATCGCTGCATTCCACGATACAAGAAAGGTAACTATTGCAGTCAAGGTATTAGACAAAGTTTGTAATAGCTTGACATTGAGAAGATGATCTAAAGTGTTATAATAAAGAAAGTAAATTGATAGAGTAAAGGTTCTCACTGAATACTGCTCATATCATGCCACCAAGACAGTAGTGTTTCAGATACACAACTCTAATCAGGACACAACTCTAATCAGGACACAACTCTAATCAGGACACAACTCTAATCAGGACACAACTCTAATCAGGACAACTTAAGTTTAGAAAAGGGGGTCATTTTTTTTCAAAAGTTGTACTTTAAGCATTTTATCTCGTGTAATCTCAAGTTATTTTAATAAAGATCTATGTTACTATTATCAGTGAATATCTAGAAAGCAGAAATATTCTTATGGGAAATTTATAAATTTTGTACAATTTATCTCACCTCCATCAAAAAGATCATCTTCAGGTGACAATTTTTTTTTTTAAATATTTAGTGATTTATTATCAAATATGATGTCATAAAATAACCCAGTTTATTGACACCTTTGTTGGAGAAACTCAGAGAATAAGCTTATATCAACTTTATATTCTTAAATCATGGGTAAATGAAATTTGAAATTTGTTTTTTAAAAAAAAGGGCTGGCTCCATTTGGTTAACTTTATAAAAGGCTGTCGATCATAATCTCGTCCAAGGTATGACAAAATCAAGAGTAAAAGTTGTATAGAAGTGAACTCCAAAGAGATTTACTATCAGGTGTTCTGAAAAGAGTAAGCATGCTCTGCTTCGTGAGCTAGTTTGACGTCTTATATTCATTCTCACTCAAAGTAATTGTTAATAACTGCAGATAGCTTCTACATGTAACCTACTAGTAGGATGTTTAACCTGAAGTTGAATTTATGTTCTGGAAAGTGATACAGGTAATCGGAAAAAGTGAGTTATGTAAGCTGATTAGCCCATTTTCAACAAACAAGGGGTAGGTTTAACTAACAAGTTGTACGTAGAAGGGAAAGCCTAACCCTCGACTGTAAATCACAATCTTGTGGTACTGTGTAGGGCACAAAGTCATGATGGAATATTCTGTAATGTCTTGTCTTAGCTTAATGGTTCAGCATCCTACAAGTTATTCCAAACTTGACTTTCTTCATTTCTTCATTATCAAAAACTGTAGATCCAAAAATTGATCGGAGCAACTGCCATAAATAATGATATTTGACTTCTGGTCCTAACTGCTGCCATATCTCATTCAACATGTTCGAGGAATGCATATCGAAGAAATGACCATATATATCCTTTTAAGATGCCACATGGAATCAATGAAATTCAGACTACAGGTGGGAATAGACTAGTTAAGATGTATGGTGTATGGTGGGGAATTATTGATACAGTACAAAATAGAAGAAGTGAACATGCGAGGTAGGGGTCCAGACATAGAGTGGACACGTTTCGCTTCTACTGTATCAATAATCCATCAAGATCTATACACCACATCTTGTTGGACACCTCATCTATTCAAGGCTTTGAAGCTAAGGTAACTTTGCCTATATATATTGACTATATATCCCCCATTCATAACTCTAGCCAGCTAGACACTCCAAGGTAGATAAAACAAGGTGACTTCATGTCACAGGTGAAAATAGACTAGCAGACGACAATGGGACAGGTCTGAACTTGTTTTATAATTATGTAAGACAGCAAATCTACCTGTTTTCACCAAATTTATCAATTCTATCTATAGACATGGGCAGCCTGAACAAACCATATTTATAAGAATATTTCATACTTTCATCTACTAATAATAGATTAAGATAAATTTTCTAGACTATGTATTTGTATTAAGCACAATCGGAAATCCCAGTTCCACAACTATGGTTCTTTTAGTTCGCGAAAAAACTTATTATTTTAATCTAGAGAAGCATGAGTATGTAATCTTCTCTCAGCTGTAAATGGGTACATCATTAATGTCAACATCCCATCCTTCCTTGTCTGATTCCACAAACCAAGAAATGAAATCAGTGGAGTTTTTCCTCCTATCTTTGTGTACCAAATTGACTAAAGAAGACAAGCAACGCTATCCATACAGTGACATAAGCTGACTGGAGATCGCAGGACAGTGCAATGAAGTTAGAAGTGTCAAGACTGGATTTCTGATCATATTATGATATATTTGTTATATTAATTATGTAAAATCTTATGAATAAGATTATCTATTTATTATCTTATTAAGATATCGCTTAAAACAACTGTTAAGATAGATACAATGTTCCCAGAACACCCTGATATCCCCGCCTACTGAGAGATTGTGAATGAACTCCAGTCAGTATATAGATAAATAAACCTTAGCTTTCTCTACCTGTATAAAAGGTGAAAGAAAACTCACTTGAATAGAATTCAACATTATAGGGATACTACCATCAAATTTTCACCTTTTGATAAAGCAGTTACTGTCAGTTACTGGCATATCATATTTTATCAATTAGTGAGTTAAACCTTTGCTTGCTAACCTGAGGGCCCAGGGTTCAATCCCCGCATGGGTCAAGATATACCTTCAGAATTTTGAAACCCAGTTTCCCCCTGTTACTGATACAGGTAAGAAGGCCATGGTTCGGCCAGTTGTTCGGATGGGACAATAAACCAAGGCTCCATGTGCTACAGGCTGTGTACGAGACAAAACCCTTGACAGTTGGAAATCGAAAAAAAAGCAGACTGTTTAGTGAGATCCACAGACTTCTGACTGAAAATTTGAAAACAGGAAATCAGTGAATAAAACCGTTTTAAAATTTCTTGAGTGATATATCAAATCACCATTCTAAGTTTTTGCATTATCAGATTTTATTAAGAAAACTGCTAAAATCAGGTAGAATTCAGCTGATAGGATTTATCATCTGCAACCAACAGATTAATTTTCCTTCAGTATCATGATGTACATGAGTATCAACATATTGGAAAAAGTCTGACTGTCGAATTTTTGTCTCCTCATGTGCCCACAGACTGTGAAACTCTTGACAAGTCTCTAGCATAAAAAGCCTAAAGGTGTTTCTGAACTTCATATTCTGTAAAAAATCATTTATAGTAGAAATAAATTACTTAACAATTACAGTGAAAATATCCCTTTCAATTCTTATATCAATATAGTCTTTATACACCTATCTAGGACATAGCTTAAATATACTGATACCAGCTATTTATAGCACCTGATGAAATTTTCCATGAAATCATTTTTATTTGAAAGTCAATCTTTATAAGGAAGTTAAACTTCAGGTAAGACATTGACATTTTTTAATGAAAACTCCAATTGATGCTGCTGACAAGTGTTTCAGACATAAAGTAATCATCAGTACATACATTCAATTCATACTAGTAGCAACCTTCCGTATGATTTACACTATAGACTTATGCAATACCTGAACCCCATCTTGAGATATATTTAGAGTCTTATGAAATTTCTTTAACAAAATCTACAAATCATTCAAGGAAGGTTTCTTTCTGACTGGATACTAACAAGGATGTTAAGGTAAATTATTTCACCTAGATAATTCACCATATTTTCCACAATATAGGGCTTCATATTCATTCCTCGTATTGGAACCATCGAATGCTAGGCTCATGACGCAAAATACGTCATCAATTCAAAAGATGGCAACCTATGAAGGAATAGCTATATGATGTCACTAAACACTCGTACAACAGTAAAAATATCAGTGGCATTTTAGTAAACTTAGGTGAGGGGGCCACAGAATTTTCAGGGTGGCTACATGCCATTCTTTCACTATGTAAAATGATAACAAATTTGAAAGTGGGGGGGTGGGGGCCAAAGCCACATCAGCCTCTTTTCTGGGAAAGGTTATGACATGGGGTTATGACATATTTCCTGCTAAATGAATCACTTCGAAAACAAAAACCAGGAAATCACAATAAAAATAATGTTTAATTTAAGGGTTATTACCACATGGTAGTTTGAGAGTGAAAATCACTTCATTTATCAAGAGGATCTGCTAATCGAAATAAATGGTCTATTTTTCGTTAAATAGAATTATTATTATATATCTATTTCAATCTTATTTGTTTTACGCTGTTTGTGGTTTATTAAAGGGTGAAATTGTAAACAAGTCTCACTTAATTGATGTCTAATTAAAGGTATTATTATTATTATCATTATGTCCCAAGCTTTAAATGGAAGTTTCCAACCAGGTAGATTCAAAATGTTTTGTAAAAATATACTTACGTCTAGGTGTCTCCTCTGTCATGGATTCCAAAAAATCCTGAGGGGTCATGTATAGAATTCCATGATGTTCTACACTAGCAAACTGACGAAATCTCATCTCTCGATACGTCACTTTTACAGCTGGTTTTACTGTCTCAACCTGTAATATTCAAAATACATTCTTGAAAATACACATTCTTGAAAATATACAGATTATTAAAAATACACATTGTTGTAAAATACACATTATAGAAATACATATTCTTGAAATACATGTTCTTGAAAAATACACATTCTTGAAAATACACATAATGTAAAATACACTTCTTTTAAAAATACATGTAATTGAAAATAAGTACATATAATGGAATATACTGCATGAATATACTAAGTGAATATTTGTTGAAATCCCCGTAACAACTCCTTCTTTATGGTCCTTATGGCTTATTTATTTAACAGAAATTCTGTCAAGGCTCTGATTGGCTGTATTCAGTAGCTTATAATCCAACAAATTGCAGCATTTACAAACTTCTGTGACACACTAGACTATTTTAGTCAATGTTCTGTTTAGCTTGAACACATTGTGATGCATAATATTTATTACTTTCAATGTGTCAATGTGGTTCTAACACCGTCATCGAAACATTGAATATATATTCTATAGAAGTATATATCTAAAGGATTTGTCTTTTTAGTAACAACTTTTGCTTATAATTTGCCATTGAAAGATTAAATTTCATATTGTGTTAATCGCTGACAGTTAGTCTGAAAACCTTGACTTCTGTAAGCAGTAACATTTAGTTGTTGACAGCGGATTGGCAGTGCCCACGATTTGCCAACTCAATCTTCTGTTAGGCCTTAAATTCCTTTTATTTTTTTCTATAATTGGTGGTCTAGCCTTCAGCCAGGCTGAATGAACCACAGTCAGTTCACTATGTCATTTTTATCAACCTTCATAGACAACCTTTTAGGCATTTCTTATGTCTTAGAGTCACATGTGTCAGATTTGTCTTTGTCTTCCAATCTACAGAAGAGCTAACATTTCTTGTCTTGAGTTCCAACGACTGGCAAAGGCACATGAGGAGACAAAAATCTCCAGTCCGTCGTTTTCCACCTTGCGGAGCATGCAATTGAAAGGAAAATGATTCTGATTGGATGATGATGGCCTGTCTTGCAGATGATAAAACTATCGGAGAAAATTATCAAACTGGTTTGATATTATCAATCCTGTCAGAGACATGATAATCTTGTCGTGGAAGCACGGGCACACACAAGATTTTACTCAAGATTCCAGTCAGGGACAAAAATCTCCGACCAAGACCGCTTGTGTGCCCACACCTCTACGTCACATGTGTCAGATTTTCTTAGTTTGTCTTCCAGTCTACATCAAACTAGTCAACATTGCATCATATAATTATAGAAGGCCTGATTAAGTCTTCAAACAAAATGTACTATTAAGTTTCTGGGCTATTAGAGACCAGCGAAGGCGTGCATTGTGCAATGGGTTTAATTTTTTCAAGACATTGCAAGATGTCACAAATGAAAACTCTTTTTTTGTAAAGATAAAGTATTATTTGAAGATTTGAAATGAAATGAAATGAATGGAGTTTTACGTCCCACTTTTCTGCTGCACCATGTGGGCTAATGAAGACGGGTTTAAAGATTTGAACCGACAGACAGTTCAGTGTTTGATTAAGACATGGCTGGCCATTCTTCTTTCATTCTGATACACAGTGAGTTTAATGATAAATATGAATTAAGACTGATCAACTGATGAATGGTAAATTAACCTTCACAGTAGCCAAGACTTATAGCTTGCCTGAATCAATATAAACAAGTTGGATTAACATTTTACTCTGCAATCGCTGGAAGGTACATTTAAAGAGCACAATGAAAAACTTCCTGTTTCTGATGTAAGTATTGACAATAAATAACAGTTAAAATCCGTACAAGCAAGGCAATTCCGGAATTCAAATTCTCGTCTGAAGTATGGCAAAACCGAGAGTAAAAGTTGTATTGCATAGGACTCCTCCAAAGAGAAGTATCATCAGGTGTTTCGAAAAGAGTAAGCATGGTCTGCTTCCGGAGTTCAGAAGGAATTGGTGAGAATGTGTTAACATGCATAACCTCTTTAATGTTATTCCACAATTTGTATGGAAACAGCTGGGTCTAAATGAAATGAAAATAAATGAAGTGAGTTTTAGGTTCTACTTTTCTGCACCTTGTGGGCTAATGAAGATGGGCAACAATATTCAGTGTACAAATTAATACTAAAACTAACGCCAATAACAAATCAAGAGCTAAAGATATGCATCTATATCAAATACAGCCTCAATCAGGATTTGCAGCTTCAGGGCAAAGTTTACGAATTTTCAGTTACTTTCAGCAAGTCATGCTGTTACTTGTTTTATAGAGCTTCCTTTTCACCAACCGTGGCCCTTATGATTTCTTCTTTGATACAGTTAGTTAGTCTTGATTATATTATGTACTTCATGCTTTTCATAGGGCAGATACAAGACACTTCGTCACGTTTCAAAAAAACATCCACAAAACTTAAAAACCCATAAAACATGCATCTCAAACGCACAAACATGAACCTTAAAATCATGGCACAATAATCAACTTGTGAATGGCCACCATAATCTGCCAGACGCAGAACACAAAGTTATTCTTCAATAGGAGTTATCTTTCTTGATTAGATAATTCAGCCATGTTCTTATCAGAATCTTTTGAAGAAGATTGACAGAACTTAGAAAGTTAAACGCCATTTGGTTTTATTGATGGGTGTTTGTTACATGTTAACCCTTTTAACACGGAGTATAAATGAAATAAAACATCATATACCGTACCCTGAACCCTTTGAACACTGAGTGTAAATGAAATATAACATGATATACCCTGAACCCTTTGAACGCAGAGTGTAAATGAAATATAACATGATATACCCTGAACCCTTTGAACGCAGAGTGTAAATGAAATATAACATCATATACCCTGAACCCTTTGAACACTGAGTATTAATGATATAAAACATCATATACCGTACCCTGAACCCTTTGAACACAGAGTGTACCGGTAAATGAAATAAAACATCATATACCCTTAACCCTTTGAACACTGAGTGTAAATGAAATAAAATGTCATATACCCTTAACCCTTTGAACACTGAGTGTAAATGAAATAAAACGTCATATGCCAGAAACTCAGAAGTGCATGAAGTTAACGTTGTGTGACGTCACATGGTAAAGGCTGCTATACTAGTAGCTCCGCTACATATTGCATTATAAATTAGTTGGTAGGTTTGAAAAGTTACTTATTAAGTATCTTCAGATACCATTTACCACTTAAAGAACAAAAAAAGATTCAATGGTCACAGTCACCTGATTTTCACCCACCGACCGAGATTAGAACCCAGGAACACCACGTAACCAAGCAAATAATTTTGTTTCTAACTATTTAACTGCTCAGGGCTTCACAGCCAGTAGGGTATTTAGGGCGAGGACCTTATTCTGAAGTGAAAATTAAAACCTCTAAGAGCTCAAAATTCATCTTAGGCCGTCTGAAATCTGATGGCTTCTGGGGGCTTTGGCCTTTTGAGAATCAACTAGATACGCATCTGATTACAGTTCATCATCAAATGATATAATAGACTATGTTTCTCAAGGGGAAACAAAAACCAAGAGACACTGCTGCAGTATGAGTCAATTTTTTAACTTTCAAACATGAATAATTATTGAAGGCTCAAATTTCGACGATGAGCTGTGAACACTATCTCTGATTATGTAAGCTGAAAAAATTCCTATTTCTGAAACTAAGTAATGATTGGTTTAACGGATAGTGAAGGTGCTCCTTCCACAACTAAATCATTTGGTTAAATGAAGAAAAATATTGGATATTCTTTGAAATATATGAATGCAACAATATCTGCACTCCTAACAAAATAACGAGGACCCTTTTATTATCAAGCCATTGTATTGTATTGTATTGTATTGTATTGTATTGTATTGTAATGTTCTTGTGGGGTCTAAATAGTCCCCTACACCTCGCTATATATATACTATCTGCACCTATTACTTTAACATGAGTCAAATAGGGGCCAATTATCAAACAATAGAGAGACAAACAATGCCTATTCACACAACTGTTAAACAGTGGGTGATTAATAGAACGAAAATGCTGAAATCATTAAGCGTATACATATTGGAATTTAACGTCCCTCAATAGTATGGAGACAATGGAAAGGAATTTATGACTGTGTGGTCTAAAATAAAGGGCTGGGTCTACCCCTCCCTCCACATTACCCACTAGTAATTTTATGAGAGAATAATGATCCCTCATTATACCAACAATACAGGGGTTTATAAGTGTGAGGTCTAAGGATTGGGCCCTATACTCGACTTAACAATAAATGATCTCAGTCAATGAGCATGTAGAAACCTTGAATGAAAGTTATTCTTTTAGCCTTCAATAAAGCTTAATAAATTTCACAGAGATCATTCAGTATTTTTTAATCACTTTTGTTAATAGCCAAAACGATGACGACAAACTACTGTAAATCTTTGTGCAGTATCTGATGGTGATTATTGATACAGTATAGAGGAGTAGAAGTTAATCATGCCTGCACCGAACACCACATGCAATAACATACGTACCTCGTCTATACACGGCTTCAGAATTTAACAAGCGTGGGATCTAGGATTGGATGAAATCTCAAACCATACATATTGTTCTGATGGGTATTTTGATGCTTTAAGTAAAAGTTTTCCCTTACACACTCATAAAGACAAAATCATTATGGAAAAAAATGAAAATAAAATTAAATGGAGTTTTACATCCTTCTTGCTGCATCTGATTGGGGTGGTGAAGAAGGGCACCTTCGTACAGTGTGCAATGAGGGTAATTTTGCCAGGAGAGCAGCATTTGCCTTCTTTTTCAATTTGTAACCGTCAAGGACAGCCTTAAGTACACAGGGCCTCGGTTTATTGTCCTATCAGAACGACTAGACGCTTTTTCCATGTCAGAAGAATCCAAAAGTAAGCTTATTCCTTAAAATTGAATGGAAAGCTTCCCTAGATGTTGATTTACAATCTCAAATATGATCTTAAGCTCAAAATATACTAAAGAATCATGACCTAAACAAATGATACAATTCTATTTCAT